AGTCGTTAATCTGGGATCCATTTCGATGCTCCTCTTGACAGGCCTTTTTGTCCTCTCCGATACCAGGATGACTCAGATGCTGCTCAGTTGTTTCCTTGCCACGTTTCCTGAACTGCACGATGATTCTGTTGACTGTCGAAAGCGGGATTCCCAAATTCTGCGTAATTTGCAGCTGACTTATTCCATCATCTGCTTGACCAAATATCCTTCCTCTAACAAAATCTGACAATTCGAGAGAACCTTAAGTTCTAGGCATGTTGTAGCACAAGATAATTACTGTGCAGACCATTTTCATTTGTATAGTGCTCTGTGAACACAAATTAGTTAGCATAAATCAGTTAAAAGACGAAAAATTAGGTGTCTATTTACTTGTGAGCACTCAGTGTATATCGGGTTTTACTTAACTGCTGAATCTAAAGTACAATTTAACTACTAAATTTAAATTTATCGGTTAACTCAATTTCAAACCATTTGAAATTCTAATACGAAACAAATTCCAAAGTGAACAACAAGATATTCATTTTGCTGTACATTTAAAAGAACCAGCTTTAACAACATTAAGTAACCTTCCAATTGAGAACTGTAGCAATTATCTAGCATTTGTAGCTGCCTTATTCAACAGGAAAGAAGAAACCTTAGCTACACTTGAGGAAGATTTGGAAAGGCTTGCCCACTTATCTTACCCTGATGCTTCTCACAAAATGATGGATACTTTGGCACATGATCAATCTATAGATGCCCTAATCAACATATATATTAGAATTAAGTTGAAGCAAAGTAGATGTACATCTTTAAATGAAGTTCTCCAGTTGGCGAATGAACTCGAATCCATTATAGTTTCAGATAAACTACTAAAGGTACCATCTAGAAGTTACAGGAATATGAGAATCTGTAGTATTGGAACACAAACTCCCTCTAAAAGTAGTGTATAAGAAATTGAGGAATAAATCAGACAGCTAGTTACACAAAATGGAATATATAAATAATACGAAAATAGGTGTTTAAAGTGTAACTTGAAAGGATATATTGTGAAAAACTGGAGATTAAAACTAGTATGGAATAGGAAATCTTTCCAGAGGATACTAGAAAAAGATCATTGTTATAATTGTGGTAATCATGACCATTACAACCGAGACTGTAAGAAACTAACAGCTATCATTATACCAAGAAACCATTTACCTTGATGATGTGACTCAAAGTCAAATCAGATCAAAGGGACAACAAAAAGCTAAACAGACCTTATAAAAATAGAAATTAGTGGATTTATAGGGCAAAGTTCATCATATGATGTATTTATTATCCCAGTTATCCTGTGGCAGAAAACACATTGGCTGCAACTTTTTCAAGATGTGCTTGAACACAATAATGCCTTAGTTGCCCATCTTGTTTTTTTCATTAGCCTTTATGCTTTCAGTGTAGTTTACAGGAATTACACTAATTCTTTACAGGTCCTCGGCATCCAACCCAATAGAAATACTTTCTTACTCACTCCAATGTCTTCTTAACAGCTAAATGTTTAGTCATTGAAAGGTGGTGGAGATGATGAAGTGCTGTTGAATGTAAAAATTATGGAAGTAACAGCTGTAATCATTGCTTCTGTTTACTGGTACCTTCCCACTTTTAACATAATAAGCCATTTTATAAGCATACTGCATCTCACCGGGCCCAATATATCTTTGTTTTCGGGCTGTATGAAGCAACTGTTTGTATTGAGAATCTTTCTGCACTATTTTTATGCCACTGAATAATTGATTGCGAACTTATATCTTTTGACTGAGCATCTTTGAGTTGAATTTTGAACCAGTTTTTCATCATTTCATTACATCTTGGATTATACTCTGCTGTACTTTAGGATGTTAGTTCTTACTACCCTATGTTTCCTTCTTTTTGCAGTGTATACATTATTCAGTAACTCATGGCCTGCAGGATAATGAGTCAGCATTGTCATGATTCAATCCAGGGTGATGCACGATGCTAAAGTTGTTTGTATTTTTGACGTTTTTAGAATCATCTTGCTATCAAGCCTTCCTGATTGTGAAAATTCCCCAGCCATTTCAGTGCTGCATAACCAATCTAAAGTGCCAACATTTGACTATATAGGTTTAATACAAAAATACAAAACCCAATAACCCAGGCACTTTTGAAAGGTGTACCTTTCTTTATTAGGAGAAAACTGGAGAAATCCCCCCCCCTCGATGAAGAAAGGTCCACCTTTCAAAATCCCTTCGATTATATGATTTTGTATGTTTGTGTTAAATAGGGTTTTTAGAACCTACACGTTTCCCTAACATCATGATTGGCTACATAGATAATGAAGAAAATGACTTAGGGCTCAAACAACAATTAGTAGCTCCCTCTGAGTAGTACAATATCATCTTTATGAAGGATGTATTGCCTTGTGTGCCCCCTCTTGTGGCTCAGTGATAAATCTGAAGGCTTATAATGCTAACTTTCGGGTTTTGATACCCGTGGTAGGCACAGCATAGATAACCCATTGTGTAGCATTGCCCTTAAAAGTAAACAAACAAACATGGCCTTACTATATAGCAGGCAATCAGATGTTCTTGTATGTGGTGTATAAACATACTCCCACTGCAAAATCACTGGCACCTGTATGTAAAACGAATGGATTTACCAGAGTTGGATATGCTAATACAGGAATAGTGGTCAAATCCTTCTTCAGCTTGATGAATGCTTATTCACAGTTAGCAGTTCAACAAAACGTATTTATCTTTTCAAGTGACTTGTATAGAAGATGAGCTATGCCAGAGAATGTCTTTACAAAACGAAGATAATATGAGCACAGTCCAAGATATCTTCTTACCTCACACAGGCTCTTTTGTGTTGGCCAATTTTGTATAAAGTCAATATTCAATGGATCTGTAGGTATTCACTCTCTGCTGACTATATGTTCTAGAAAACCCACCTGTTGATGTAATAATTTGCAGTTTTGAGATTCAGCCTAAGGTTCTTTTTCCTAATCCGATCCAGAATTTTCCTTAGGTCATCATATGCATTCTCATCATATGCATTATAAAAGGTACTACCATGTGTAATTATGCTATCCAAGTAGATGAGTACAACGTTACAGGGTAGTTCAGACAGAACACACTCCATAAAACATTGAAATGTAGCAGGTTCATTGTACAATCCAAATGGAAACACAACAGATTGGAACAATCAATTTCCTGCAGTAAATGTTGT